GTTCTTAATTAGACTGTATATTTTCAATGCTTGTTGTCATACTTCGAGTCCTGTATTTATGAACCAATTTTTAAAATTTCTTTTTTTTTTGAAAAGGAGATACAGAACATACAAGAAAATATAGTAAAAGGTGGTATTTTTTGTATTAAGGAGGGTGATCATTTAGTATTTTCTTTTCAGTATACGTAGCGTTAAGTCGTCAACCCATTATGGGCTTGCGTGGAATATTTGTAGTGTATAATGTCCTGTAACGGGATATGTACTATACTTTTAATATGTACGGAGAGAATCCTTTCATAAACAAACTGATAAAATATCAGTGTATAATATTTGTACCCGATAATGACCAAAGTGTATTTGTCAACAGAATGTATAGCCGTGAACATAAAGAGGATAGAAGTACCGTCACTCGTCGAAGTAGGTGTGGAATCAGTCATCCTCGATTGTGAATACAATGTGAGCTCTGTAGCGCCGGATAGCGGGCTTGTGATGAAGTGGTTCTTCAACGGTTCCTCAGGCCTTGTGTACCAGTGGATTCCGCCTCTGAGGCCGCAGGTCATTGGCCTCTTGAAGGGAAAGGTTGACATGAACTTCAGGATTTCGGGTAAGGAAATTATAATTCCAGGTGGTTATAGTTTGACCTATATCATGAGATAAAAATGCTCGTACACTGTCAAATGAATGGCCTAGGGTTCGATGTATTACAAAGTGGAACCGATTGTTAGTACTTTTTACTCGTTTTGTTTACTCGTAAGTACACCTTGTAATCCACGAAAAACGAATGCATAAAGTGTAGCTGATGGCTTTGATAGAATCAATATTCGAAAACTAAACTACGACTCACATGCGCTTAGACATTATTGTGAAAGAGTTCGTCCAGGGAAGTACTGCCACCTTACCTATTTCTGCCGCCAAGCAGTAATGTGAGCATTACTGCGTTCCGGTTTAGAAGGATAAGGGTGCTGGTGAAATTACAGGCACATGGGACTTGTCAACTTATGTCTCAGAGTGATTGCAACTGTTATGGATAGGCGTGTCGCTTAGGCGTAGGCGAACGACTTGTTCGTTCCGTCACTTGGTATAATAAAAAAAATCCATATCGTTCGTTTAACGTTTGTATGACATCAAGTAACTTTGTTTGATCGTCCAATATGCATATTACTTTTTTTTTGTTATTTTCTTGCACACTGTATGAGTAAGTAATTTGAAAATGAACTTCAAAAGATCATTTCTATAGAAATCTCTTCAACGAATTTCATACTATATGAGACTCTGTTGGCCACGTTGATGAAATGCGAATTCATGCGCTGCCACCGTTATCAGATTTTGAACACATTTCAAAACTGTGAATATTCTTATAGTAGTAGTTATGGTTTCATCACGATGGCAAACATTATAGTGTATGGCCATTGATACGATAAGAAGAACTAAAAGTTAACAGTTATAAAGGCTTTCCTGTTCATGTCAAATCTAATTGTCATATTAGATTTTTGTCTGATATCTCAGGCAGTCATTCTTTCTATTTTATCCGTTTGTTCCACGGGATGTCTTGAATAGATAAGCTGATATTATCAAATTTCTGAAATCTATTCAATATACTTTAAAAAATATTCTTTCATGACTTACAGAGGACTGTACTAGTATAAGGACTAATTACTTATTCTCCTAACTAATTGAAGTATACGGACAAGCAAAACATTGTAGAATCGTAGTTCTGAGCATGAAACAATACAAATTCACAATTGGATGTAACTTATTTATCTGTCATAATTATTGCCAACACAATAAGTAGGGAATCAACAACAAGTAGGGAACATCATGATCATACAAAGATTTAATTTATTCATCTCAATGTTATTTAGAGTGCTTAAACTAAAAATAGAGTGGATTGAGATTCTTTATTCTAAGAAACTTAACTCCATGTGACCGTATTTATGGAAATTTATTTGCCAACATTATTATTCATAGTGCGGTTATTTGCGTAGATCGAAAGACAACAAAAAGGAACTTGAATCGCTATTGGAAAGGTTATGTCTAGACGATATTTGCATTTTGGATCAATTGGTTCACTTCATTTCGCGTTTTCTCAATAGACAGAAAATAAAATAATGAATTGTGGACATCGAAGAACGTGTTCCTGAATATTCAAAGGAACTTTCACAAATATTTATTAAGTATAGATTACTTAATGGACCGTAATACAGGTAACAAAAAGGACTGACGTTATTAATTCAGCTAGTGACGATAACAAAAGCAATTTTGCAAAGAGAATAATTATGTATTCACGAAAAATAAGTAAGAATTTGAAAATATGTTTTGTCATTGTTATGACAACTACATTCATTAGATGAAGTATATTTGTACCTTTTTGTGATCATTGCCCTGTACAAATATATATTTCTTTCCTGTTCTGTTCTGGTCTAATGCGAGATCAAGAATAAATATATTTTTTTATTTAAGGAAAACAATCAGTTATAAAACAGTTAAAAAATGCAAAACATCGATAGAACAATTAGGCTTGGAGTTATAAAGTCAAATATAAATGCCTAGAGTTCCTCAAACATAACTAAGAATTTGGCAAGCGAGTACAGCTTAGTAGACACTTTGCAAGGTATCTTCATATTCATAGAGAGGCATGCGCCAGCGTTCATCGGCCCGCAAAGGATCAAATAATTTTGTGAAATTTAAAATGATTGTGCACCTTTTTGTCAAATAATGTACGTATTTGATGGAAATCTAGATTGACGACGTGTTCGACAAACATGTTTGAAGGTATGCGGGCGTGTCTGTCAAACCAAACTTCAGTTCTCGCCTATGCGTTCACCTTACTAGATTCCATAAATAGTTGGTTGTTCCGTGCGCAATATTCCTTTAAAAAAAAATCAAACAAAAGTAACACACCACAAATAACAAAAGTTTTTCTCTTAATTTCAACCATTATCTATACCAATATATAAATATTTTTTTTTTGCTTGAAGAAACCGTGAAGTTTGAAGGATAAATTTGACAAATTATTTGATCGTTCACTTTAAACAACTACAGTCAAAGCGTCTCATTGCGAGCAGTGCGTTGCTTTTAGATGGTTGTGCATGCCTCGATGCATATTTCGTCGCATGCGTTCGCATGTGCTCACATAATGTATGACAACGAAGTTAACCCACCGACGAGGACGGCGTTTTTCTCTTATTTTATATAAAATTGAATTAATTACTGAAAACCAGGATTCGTCGCGGTGGTGCCATTTTGACAGGACTGACTGTACAGTAAAATCCAAACCATGTGTTTGAATCAGCTCGAACATGCGTCGGTAGCATTTTTTACCCCGTATGCCTCCAGCCGAGCTGTGCGTCACTTGCCTATTATTATGATATAATTTCATTTATTACATATATGTATCTATATGTAATTATAAATTATGAAAATGTACAATATCGAAAAGTGATATTTCAAATACTACGATGTGCTGTTCTATATTGTACCAAAACACTGCAACTCTCAGTACCTATAACGTTTTGTAATTTGTTATTTTGCAAAGTTAATTATAATAGCTCGATAGAATTCTTTAATATCTAATGTACACACGCCAGCACATCAAGCTACACATTAACGTATCTTGTTCCGTTGCACTGGAGGCGATTTTCGAACAAAAATGTGTAGTCTGGTGTGCCGTTGAATTTTTCAAAGAATGGCTGAGACATGAGAAAAATGCAAGAAGCAGTCGCATTTTTGATAATATATGTGAAAAACATAATATCATTAATGCTTCTGAGGAATCACTGAAAAACCTGAAGATGAAAATCTCCGCGATACTAAATGAAAAGTGGACTTCATCTAAATCTAATAAAGAAGTGTTTTTAACCAACCATAAAAATTGGTTCGAGGCTTCGGGAATAGTAATGAATGTATGTACATACCAGCCGCAGCTTTCAACATCATCAGGACTTGAGTCTGTAGGCAGACTCAAAAAATCCTTTAACGACTCATCGCTGAAAACGAAGAGACGTAGAGTAGAAGATCTTTTAGAAATTCGGAGTGCAAGTGAGCTAACTATAGCCGCGGAATTAGCTACTAGGAAGGAAGGGCACCGAAGTGTTGCTAAACAAATTAAAGAAGTCGGTGAAAGTCCAAAAAAGAATAAGTGTTCTGAACAAAGTAGGCAGTTAACTCCGGACGAAGCGTTAGCTTATTACGTAGACTCCAAATCTACTTGTCACTCATATAAGCAAACTAGGAAGTGGTCAATGAAGGCGGGACATCAAGTGTATCCATTATTCTACAGTTTAGGTAAATCCAAAGCTTCTTGTTGTCCTTCTGACGAACATTGATGGACGTTGATGGATCTCAAATCTTTGTTACACACGACTTATTGTTGACGATGATAAAGTGTGTAACGCTTTAACGGACACACGTTCAACACAAAAGTGTTATATTTGCGGTGCTACTCCGTCTACTATGAACGAGGAGTCGAGGAAGTATCCTAGCAACAAAGAGCGCAATGAATTTTGTTTATCTACTTTACATGCATGGATCCGCACTTTTGAATGTATGCTTCACATTAGCTATCGTTTAGAAATAAAAAAGTGTCAAGTCAGAGGAGACAACGATAAAGCTGTAATAAAGCACCGCACACAAGAGATCCAAATAATACTTAAAGATCGTATGGGTCTTATAGTGGATAAACCAAAACCTGGGTATGGCAACTCGAATGATGGAAACACAGCACGTAGATTTTTTTCTAATGCTGAATTGAGTAGCGAAATAACAAGATTGGACGTAAGTCTTATTAACAGATTTCATATAATTTTAAGAACTTTGTCATCGGGATACGACAAATTGTTTAGAATTCGAAAAGTTTTGCGTTGCAACGAGAAAATTATACCTTGATCTGTATTCGTGGTACTCCATGCCCGTTACTGTGCATAAGATTCTTGTACACAGTACGGAAGTAATTAAATCTTGCCTTGCCTATTTATTGGTCAGCTTTCCGAAGAAGCCCAGGAGGCAAGAAATAAAGATTGCCGTAGATTCCGTGAGCGACGCACTAGGAAGCGGTCACGTATTGCCACGAATACAGATCTTTTGAGAATGCTCCTAATTACGTCCGATCCTGTAATCAACACTTAGAGAGTTACCGAGAAAGAAGATTACTGCTTTGCCAGCGGAGGTTCTGCAGTTGATTATCCCACCTTCCTTACCATCCCAGTTATCATCAGTTCGCGAAATTGATGACGAGGATTACGTGTTGTCAGACTCTACCGGATTGGAGAGTAATGATGAGGAATCATCTGAAGATGAGCATTAGATATTTTTGTAATGTCTTTAGATTAGATAAATTAGGTCTTGTTTATTATTGTAATTAATTATTATATCTAGTTTTAATATGTAGTTGTAGAGTATTTTACTATAGATGTTTTAGTTATGTAATGCACATTTATTATTTTTTATATTTGTCAATTTTGTTACTTACTACTGAAATATAATTTTTGTTGTTATTGTATTGTTCGTTGATTTAATTTAATTGTATTAATATAAAAATTTTAAATAAATACCTACCGAATACGTCATAAATGTAATAAACATTTATGATTTTTTAAATTTATTTTT